ATGGCTTATTCATAATTCTATTTTGGTCTTGGTTTAGGCTTGTCAAGCTCAATAGGCAGTTGGATATGCAGGATTGGAGCTTAGAGGAGATGTTTAGATTGCAGACATAAATCTGGGAGTCATTGTGTAAATTTGGGAGTTAAATCCATAGGAATTAATGGGCTCAGCTATGGAAAGTGTATAAGGAGAGTATAGAAGACCATGAGGAACCCCAGCACTTGGGAGCTGGGAGAGGAAAATGAATTTACTAGAGAAATAGAGATATGATGAGTGAGGCAGAAGGAACTTAGAGCTATGGACCAGCAGAAGCCAAGAGAGGGGAGTGATTTAAGAAGAGTGAGTGGGCACTGTGTCAAATTCTGATGTGAGTGGGAACATGATTAAATAGAGATTTATCTACAGGATTTGGCGAAATCTGATTATTTCAATTAGCCCCATCCAAGAGAGATATACTGTGAGCCATATATATATTTTAAATTTTTTAATAGCTACGTTAAAAAAGTGAAAAGAAACAGTTGACACTAATGTTAATATATATTTTATGTGTAAATTATTAGTGAGAATTTTGCATTCTTTTTTCATATGAAATCATCAAAATCTTGTGTGTGTTTTACATTTAAAGCACATGTCAGTTTGGTCTTGGCACATTTCAGGCACCTACTAGACCACCTGTGGCTTGTGGCTACCATGCTGGACAGTGCACAATCCACACCTCGCCCTCTGAGCCTCAACCTCTTCCCTGGTAAAATGGATGATATAAATTCAGATTTCCTGAAAGTTGTTATAAGCAAGAAACAATATAATTTCATGAAGCCATGAAGCTCTCATTGCTCTTATCATTTTTTTTTATTTTGCCAAAATATAGGTACTTTATTTTTTCAGATGCAAAATGGGTGTTAAAAGCATCCCAACAATACAGAAAATGTGAAAATCAGCCAAATCTCAGTCTCTAGTTCTGATATACATCTTTCCTGACTTTTAAAAAAATACCTATCTGAGAACTGTTATACATTGTGATCACGTTGTTACTGGACTGTACACATTGTCAAAACTTGTTAAACTATACCCTTAAAATGGGTGCGTTTTATAGCATGTTAATTACACCTCAGTGAAACATAAGCCAATTGGCTTTTTGAACCTTATTAAAAGAAGATTTTTTTAAACAGAAATATGATCACATCAACATATTATTTGTAATCTGCTTTTTAATTTTGTATTAAATTTCAAAAGTTACACATACTCATAACAAATTCAAGCAATGCTGAATTGAAAAAGGACAAGCTGGTAGCTCTTTATCCACTTTATGTCCCACTGCCCAGAGATGATTGCAATGAGCAGTTTGGTGTGTGATGTTCCAGATATGCACACATATCTTCATACATACACACACACAAATATGTATACACATAACAAAAGACTGGAAAATGTAATCATATGATCATGGACAACTTGCCATTTTGGACTGACTTCATCCTTTTTTAAATTTTATTTTCTTGGCCTCAGGTCACAACTTCATCCTTTTAAAACCCTGCAGAGTACTCTACAGAATGGGAGCACTTTGATTTATTTAACCAATTCCTTATTGGATTGTGTTCAATGCTTCAAATAAACACTTTTAAAATAAAGCTTACAGGGTATCTTCATTGTATTTTTATGTCAATACACAGGGTTGACATTATCTTTTATCTTTTTTTAAACAGATGCATGTATTTCATAATGTGAATGGAACATAATTTCTTTAAACATGTGTCTATGGAAAATCTTCCATTTTTTTTTTACTCTTATCAATGATAGACATCCTTGCCCATAATACAAAAGTGTAACATTTCACAAGGTTCAATTCCTAGCAGTAGGATAACTGGATCAAAGGGTATTCACATGTAACATCTGAAGCGTGTTGCCAAATGCCTCAGGAGGTTCAACTGGTTTATTCTTTCACTAACGGCATATGTTCCAACACCCTCACTGGTTTTATTCCCCTTTTCAAGTCTTGCTGTGGCAGATGAATGGTATACCATTAGCGTTTTGCTCTGTATTTCTCTGATGATGGTGATATTGACCATTTCTTCCAACTTGTCAATTTGAATACTCTCCTTTCCAAGTGTGTGAATGGGAAGAGCTTTGGTTAGCAATGAGCTCTAGGCTTCATTGAACTTGGAGCCAGAGCAATCTGAGTTTAAGGCCAGGGTCTACAGAATGGGAGCACTTGGATTTCTTTAATCAACTCCTTATTGGATTGTGTCCAATGCTGCAAATCAAAACTTTAAAAATAAAATTTACAGTCTATCTTGGTTATATCTAGGTGTATGTCAATTTAACAAAATGACTTGCTCAGGGTCCGCCCTCGAACAAGTGGTTTCTGCTCTCTGACCCTCTGATTTCCCACCTGGAGTGCAAAGTATCTGCCCTGAAGGCTTAATGTGTACAGAGCTCCTTCTAAAGACACATTATGGATGCTTGAAAGGTGACAGTTAGATTTTGAGGGGCCGTGAGGCTGAGTTAATCTGGGTTCTACTGGTGTGAGTGGGCTGTATCAATGTGGTGAGCTGCCCATCGCAGGAGTGATTCAAGCACAAGCTGAACAAAGATAGGACTCTTACAGGAGTCCTAGTTAGGGTGATTTATGGGGTTTCCAAAGACTCCAATATTCTGCCGCCCTCAGATTCTCCCCTCTTTGGTTGAGTCCCTCTTCCTAGGGTCCTTGAGTTGGGAGGATAAGCATTTGCCTGGGCCCAAGCAGTATCTAAATACCCGCAGGGAGCTGCAAATAAAGAGCTTTGCACCATGCAGAGGGCATTGCAGGACAGAATCTAGTGACCCAGCCTCCAACAATGTCCCCTTCACAGCAGGCCTAATTCCCTTCCACAAATCCTCATTTACAAATCTGCCAAACCTCGGCCCGCTGAGATGCCTAGGGTCACATGTTTTGGGGCCTTCTCATTGTAGGTTTCTTTCTGATGCTGTCACCGGCGTGGCTATTGTCACCATCTTGTTCTTCTTCCCATCCCAAAGGCCCTCTCTCAAGTGGTGGTTTGACTTCAAAGGTAAGGTGGTCAAGGATGGGGTCTCGGTGGGCTCAGTGAGGACTGCGGCCTGGAGTGTGGTCATCAAGGGCCTGGAGCCCGCCTCTGCACTAACCATGTGGTCCTTCCTCCTTTCACTGACTGAGCCATGGCCTTGTCTGGGGACTTAGGACTGCCCCAGGTGATAGCTCAGGACAGGGGTTAGCCACTATAGTCTCCAGACCAAATCCAGCCAGCTATCTGTTTTTTGAACAGCCTGGGAGCTAAGCATAGTTTTCAGATTTTTAAATGGTTGAAAAAAAAAAAAGAAAGAAAAACATTTCATGACATGTGAAAGTTACATGAAATCCAAATTTCAGTGTCTATTCATCAAGTTTTGCTTTCCCCTAAGAAATGTGTGGAAATTAATTTTCTTTAGTTATATAAGTACCTACACAAAAGCCTCAATTTTGCCTCTTGGCCCACAAAGCAAAACAAGGTTTATTTTTCTTGCCCTTTGCAGAAAAATGACCCCTTAGCCCAAAGCAGAAGTCGCACCTTGGTTGCTCAAGGAGCCACTTATGGAAGGTACAAGCTGGGTTTCAACTATACAGGAAGTGGTGGGGACTGAGGGAAAACTGCCTAAAGGCATTCAGATTCCGTTTTTTAAAAATCACTGAGTCCCTCTAACCAAAATGGCCTTCAGATTGCCAGCTTGTGCCTTGCTCTGGTGTCCAGCAGAAGTCTGCCGGAAGGTGACGCCAACACCTGAGGCTGCCACCTGGGGCAGTTGGATGGGCTCCTCCAGAGTCAGGAAATAGGGACTGTAATCGAACTGTTTTCTGTTGTTGAGAAAAATAGTAGATGAAATTTCTTGGCTTTATTTATTTATTTAGACAGGGTCTTGCTCTGTTGCCCAGGTTAAAGTGCAGCTGCACAAGCTCGGCTCACTGCAACCTCTGAGGCGATTCTCATGCCTCAGCCTCCCCGTTAGATGGGATTATAGGCACCGCCACCATGCCCGGCTAATTTTTGTATTTTTAGTAGAGATGGGATTTCACTATGTTAGCCAGGCTGGTCTCAAACTCCTGACCTCAGGCTATCCGCCCGCCTCGGTCTCCCAAAGTGCTGGGATTACGGGCATGAGCCACTGTGCCTGGCCAGTATATTTATTTGTTTATCACGTGACATCCCCCCTGGAATATAAGTTCTCCAAGGAGATGAATTTTCTCTGTTTTGGCCGCTTCTGATATCCTTAGAGCCCAGAAGAGCGTTTGACACATGGCAGGTACTCAACATATATTTGTTAAACAAATAGCCAAGGACACGCTCTGGGCAAGACCCTGGGATGAGTCCCTTGCACAGAAGGACCATTTGATCTTTCCAGTAGTCTCCAAGGGAAGTGCTGTTACCATATTTTGCAGAAGAGGAAATCGAAGCTTAGAAAGGTAGGGACACTGGCCCAAATCACACAGTAGGGGCACAGCAGAGCCAGGATTCAAGCCCAGTTCAAAGCCTGTACCTTTAGCCACTGCTCTAGACTGCAAACTGGCATTAGCTTGAGCTGGAGTGGGAAATCCATGTAGTCAGAGGTTGTGCTTATGAGAAATAGCAGTAAAGCCGTGGTTGGATGGGAAAACAGTAAAAACTGTGGTAGCTAACATTAACTGAGAGCTCAGCATGTGACAGGCAGTCTGATAAGCATTCGACATTTAATCTGCATTACATGGAACCCTGCTCAAGGCCTTCTTCCTTCCCCTGTCCCATCCACCCTTACTTGCTGTGTGGGGTGAGTCACTTCACTTTTTCAGACTTCTTGGACTTCTTTAATGACATGATATTTTATCACCTGAAGACAAAGGGCAGGGCCACCTACCATGTCTGGTTGCCTTGTCCAGTTCTGGGCTTATTGTATGTTGCATTTGGCCCGAGAGTCTCCTCCAGGCTTATGACACCTACACTGCCCGTAGATACCATGGGCTGCATACACCTGTGGGTTGCATGTACCTGTGGACTGCATACACCTGTGAACTGCATACACCTGTGGGCTTCATACACCTGTGGACTGCATGTACCTGTGGGCTGCATACACCTGTGGGCTGCATGTACCTGTGGGCTGCATACACCTGTGGGCTGCATACACCTGTGGGCTTCGTACACCTGTGGACTGCATGCACCTGTGGGCCGCATGCACCTGTGGGTCACATGCACCTGTGGGCTGCATACACCAGTTGGCTACATGCACCTGTGGGCTGCATACACCAGTTGGCTACATGCACCTGTGGGCTTCATACACCTGTGGGCTGCGTGCACCTGTGGACTGCATACACCTGGGGGCTGCATACACCTGAGGACTTCCTACACCAGGGGGCTACATACACCTGTAGACTGCATACACCTTTGGGCTGCATACACCTGTAGATTGCATACACCAGTGGGCTGCATATATACACCTGTGGGCTGCATATACCTGTGGATTGCATACACCTGTGAACTGCATACACCTGTGGGCTCCATAAGCCTGTGGGCTACATGCTTGTTGGTAAAGGAGTTTTATTATGTAGCTTTTATTTATTTCCTGATTATAAAATCTTGTTTTAGATAAACCACTGTGTTACATTTGGAAAAAGCTCAAAAAGAGAAGCAAAATGTCCATAACTGCTCGACCAGGAACTGTCCTGGGAGATGAGGAACTGCCTTAAAGAGCCAGACCCATCCTCCCTGCTTCCCTGATCACAGCCTGCAGAGAAAAGTCCCGTTTCAGGAGTGATTACCCTACACCAAGCATGGCTCTAAGCGTGCCATATACATTATTTGACAAATATTTATGGAGTAACCACAGGCGTCACTGTTCTAGACCCTGGAGATGCAACTGTCAACTAACTGGAAATGCCTCATCTCCCTGCAGATTCATCATTGCCCTGGTTTGAGTTCACAGGGAACACCCCCCACCCCGGTTCTGTAACTGTGCCATGTGCCAGCTGAGGAAATGGGGCACAGGGAGGCAAAGTCACTTGTCAAGGGCACACAGTGAGCCAAGACCCAGGAGGGTCTGTCTCCAAGCCTATGCCCCCAACCCAGGGGTGTCACATTACCAGCCATGTGCCAGGTCCGGCCCACCACCTACTTTTGTAAATAGAGTTTTATTTACAACCATGCCCACATGTTTAAGTGCGGTCCCTTGGCTGTTTTCATGCTACAGTGACGGAGTAGTGACAACAGAGACTGTGTGGCTGCAAAGCCTCAGTGATTCACTCGCTAACCGTCCGCAGAAAGTCTGTTGACTCCCCTGGCCCATTGTCCCCGCCACTGCAGCACACTGCCACTTTTGAGGAAATGAAAATCATCCCATAATTTCAGGAGTCAAAAATACTCTTTGTTTCTATTTTTCTAAATTTCCTTCCTCTTTTTTTTTTTCCTCTCTGTATATGTTCCAATACAAAGAAAGCCTTTTCTCTGATAAATAAGGGTAAAAATAGCTCTTGTGCAGAAGGGCTGAGTTAGGTGATGTCCTGCATGTGGAGTTTCCAAAAACTCCCCAGCTGTGGGAAACATGAAAATTATTTTCATTGAGAATAGAGCAGCACCGCCTCTCACGATGCTTGTACTCTCTCCCTGAAGCTCCCAGTCAGATGCTGGGTCTACACCTTGGCTTCCTAGGGACCCCTGGAGTGTCCCCACTAAGATGGGGCTGCAGGGCTGGTGGCCTCTGCCTCGAGCTGAGTGGCCCTGAGTGCGTGCTGAATTCCTCTCTCTGCCCAGCTCCCAACACGGAGACAGTGCCCTTGCTGACCTGGAAGAAGGCTCAGGAGACAGTGCCCTGGAATATCATTCTTCTCCTGGGAGGGGGCTTCGCCATGGCCAAAGGCTGTGAGGTAAGACCCCCCCCACCCCGCATCACCCCTCCCCTATCAGGAACATCGGAGGGGAGTCAGGTGTGGACAGGTCCCAGTGCTGGCTGCAGCACCAGGATCAGAGCAGGCCAACTGCACAGGCCCTGGGGAAATAGCCAGTTTCCTCACTTGCCAAACTGAGATGATCATAGTTCATTCCTCACGGGTCCACACTTAGGGCCTGGTGAGAAAGAGAGGAATAAGGCATGACCTGGATCCTCAAGGCGCTCATGATGGGCAAAATATTAACACCAATAATATTAGGACTGGAGGACTCTGTGACTTAAAAGGGATAACAGTGTATTGTGATCACCCAATGCCAGACACTGTCCAGCATGCTTGTTGAGGCGGAAGGATGGCTTGAGACCAGGAGTCTAAGATCAGCCTCGGCAACATAGTGAGGCCTTGCTCTTTTTCCTGCCTCTCTTTTTTTGAGACAGCGTTTCACTCTGTCGCCTGGGTTGGAGTGCAGTGGTGCCGACACAGCTCACTGCAGCCTCAGCCTGCCGGGCTTCATCATTTCTCCCTCCTCAGCCTCCCAGCTAGCTGGGACTACAGGCATGCCTCACCGTGCCCAGCTAATTTTCTTTTGTATTTTTTGTAAAGATGGGGTTAAAAAAAAATTAGCTAGGTATGGTGGCCCCAGGCTAGAGTGCAGTGGAGTTCCAGCCTGGGTGACAGAACAAGACCTTGTCTCTAAAAAAAAAAAAGGAAGAAAGAAAAAAGAAAAACGGGCCGTGCACGGTGGCTCATGCCTGTAATCCCAGAATTTAGGGAGGTTGAGGAGAGCAGATCACGAGGTCAGGAATTCGAGACCATCCTGGCCAATATGGTGAAATCCTGTCTCTACTAAAAACACAAAAATTATCCAGGCGTGGTGGCACATGCCTGTAGTCCCAGCTACTCAGGAGGCTGAGGCAGAAGAATCACTTGAACCCAGGAGGTGGAGGTTGCAGTGAGCAGAGATCACGCCACTGTACTCCAGCCTGGGTGAGGGAGCGAGACTCCATCTCAAAAAACAAAGCTATGAGGTAGATGCTATCATTATGCCCATTCTATAGATAAGGGACGTGAGACACACAGAGAGAAAGTACCTTACATAATGTCATACAGCTGTGGAGTCAGATTAGAATCCAGGCAGTTTGGCTCTAGAGTGTATGCTCATAACCTAGACTAGATAGTAATATTAATTAGCTCACTGATGTTATTATTAATGTTATTCCAGAGGGCTTTGTGAGCTCAGAAGTCAGGTGAGGATGGAGCAAATGAGGCCCATGGAGTGCAGAATTTCAGAAAGTGCTCACTCTCTGGGGTGCGCAAGCACAAGTCAGCCAGCCCAGCTCAGAGGCAGCGCAGCGCCAGCATCCAGCCTCTGGCACCGTGTATTATCTCACTGAATCGCCATGCTAGCCCTAAGAGCTAGGTAATGTTTTTATGCCTCTTTTACAGATAGGAAAACCGAGACATGAAAAATTAAGCAACTCTCTTACATTCTTACAATTGCACTCTGCTTGGGAGCTGGGGTTCAAACTCTCCCTGATTTCAGAGTCCAGGCTCCAAATTGTTCACTCTAGAATTTTGCACATGCCAACCATTGTTTGAAGTGCTTCGTGAGTGGAATATGACTCAGTCGATCTTTATAAGCACCACTGAATTTGATACTATCACTGTCTCCCTTTTAAAGATGAGGAATTGGAGGCAAAAGGAGGCTAAATAGCTCGCCTACATGTGCACATCCTAGAGATGGCAGAGCCAATATCTGAAGCCAAGCTCTGTCCCACCCCTGAACGCCTTGTAAACCAAGGCATTCAAAACCACAGCCAATTAAGAGTCAATCTAAAATTAAGGTTAAGGGAAGCTGAAATTACTTCTTTTATTGGCTTCTCTTCTTATTTCAATTTTAATTTTCAGTTTCAAATGAAGCTACAGTGTTGGACGCCTGTTAACCGTGTACACTGGGCAGAAGCTCAGGCTTGGAGACCTCAGCACCTGGGCAGTCTAGGCTCTACCACTCCTCGCTGGGACACTTTGGGCAGGTTTCTTAACCTCTCTGGGGTCCTGTTTTTCTCATCTCATAGATTTCTCATCTCATAGATTGAGACTCAAAGTTCTTATTCTACAGGGTTGTTGGAAAACATTAAAGAATAACTGCCCATTACGTATAGCCGATGAGACGTGCTAGAAACTGCATGCACACCAGCTCATAAATCCTCATGCCACAGTTTCTACAGGTTGGACTTTCAAGAAGCAGACTCTGGATGGAGATTAGCAAGCACAAGCTTCATTAGATTGTGCCATTGGGGTCACTGTGCACGGGAGAGGGTCGAGGGAGAAGTGCAGTTGGAGACAGATCCAACGCCATAGGAGCACTGGAGCTGAGATGGTCTTCAGAAGCAGTTCGAGTGATCAGAGATAGCCAGACCCTTGTATCCCAGCATCCATCTGTCTGGGGACACAAGCTGCCCCAGGTGCAGATATGACCTCAAGTGAGGCAGCTTCTGGGGTCTGAGAGAGCCAACTGCACCCCCTGAGCTGGGACAGCAAGGTCTCCACTGATGGGGATCAGGGTGGCACATTCAGACTTTCTATACAGGGGCTCATTTTTAAACAAAATATGTTTTACTTTATTTATTTTAAAAAACGCATAAATAACAATACAGACTTCAAAGGGAACAAAGGAATAGATGATCAAAAGTACTGGGATTTGTCTGCGTTTTAGGGATCCTGAGGCCCAGACAAGTTAAGTAACTGGTTCTGGGTAACACAGTTCATTAGCAGCAGGGCCAAGATTTGAACTCGTGTCTATGTGACTTATGCTGTTGCCTCCTGCTGGTGTCTGAGGGAAGGCTTCCTGAAGGAAGTGACATGTTAGCCAGGCCCTGAAGAGGTGTGTGGTACAATGGAACCAGACCATCTGGATTGGAATCACAAACTTCCCCCTTCTTAGGTGTGTGATCTTTGTCAAGTTACTAAACCTCTCTGGGCCTCAGTTTCCTCATCTGTAAAATTAGAATCACAATGGCACCCACGTGGTAAAGTTGTCATGATTATTAAGTGAGTCAACATATGCAGGGAAATGAGAACATAGCCCAGCACAGTTGGTTGGATACTGGTCCTCATGTATGGTTAGATGCTGAGGAAAAGGAAAATCAAAATCAAAAATCATGTGGAGGTTCATGGCTTGAGCAACTTGATGGAAATGGTGCCATTTACCTCAGTGATCTGAGCCCAGCCTGGCCTAGAGAAAGGAGGCTGAAGGAGATGACCCCGATCCAGAAATTTCCCTAAGCTCCAGCGGAGGCTGGGCTGCAGGATGCTGGGCATGCTGAGAGGCCAGCCTGGCTCTGAGCCCAGCGCTGGGCAGCTGGTCGGAGTTTCTCTTCAACAGGGGCTTTGTGTAGTAGCTGTTCCTTTCCCCAGCCTCTGCCACACCATCCCCTTCCCAGGCACCTGCAGCCTGGCCCAGGAGCGACCAGAATGCTTATGGCACATCCTGGTTCCTGGCCCCTGCCCCATACTCTCATCAGATCACAACCTGGCAGCCTCCTGAGAATCGGAGGTCCCTGGATGTGATCCAGGGTGAGCCTGGGTATATAGGCTCCCTGTGCTGCTTCTGAAGGGCAGG